TTTACCTACATGGATATGAACAACATTAAATTGTTAAATATTGAGACTATATTATTAAATGAATGAAATTCGGTCTCCGTAGTAGGGTGCCCGAAATGCTGGCAAAGATTCTCCTTTATTGCTAATACGTTAGGCCTGGTTGCTGCAAGTCCTTGGATCTCTCAAGCGGGTCATTATTTTTCGCTGAACTTACAGGAAAGGCCGTATTGACCCTTTGCATTTAAGTCTTTATGTAAGGGGCATTGATGTAAAACACTACTGCAATGCGAATTGCCTCGGAGCTCGGTAAAGTGCCGACAGCCGGTACTGGTTGAGAGTAAAGGTTCTTCACACTTCATTTCACCATCTTCGACTTTTGGGGTCGGCGAAATAGATTTTGGGTGTGCCAGGCCAACGTGTTAACGACTCATCCGACAATGACTCTCAGAGCTTGGTGGCGAAAGCGTTACGGTACTGCCTACGAGGTTGATGTACCATATATTGAAGACATAAAAGCCGAACGGGATTTGGCTGATAGGAAGGGTAACTTGCGTTCGTGCGTGAAAGGTGAGATTGATGTTAAGGACGAATTGAAACAAGGCTTTCAAATCGGTATCTATTGAAGTGGAACATCTAAGCCGGACAGCGACGAAATAGGTCTGTGAACTTGGGAACAAAGATACTAAATTATTAGGATTGTGATGTAGAAAATATCTATTCAGAAGCTAATCCGTCTACGAGTTAAAACTTGGAACAATATTATGGAATATTCCGCAGTGGAATTTTCGTACATGAGTGCGTTTCGAAGGCCAATACTTTGGTAAGATGGATATTAGAGGATGAAGCATTAAAATTCTGTCTGATCGTATGTTTATCGAAATGGGACTGGAAACATATCAGATGGGACAGTATAGGTAAGGCGTTCTAGTCCATATAGGATCATTGACTGACTGACCAAGGTAGACTATAATTAATTGTCATAGTAACCTAATTGAAAGCTCGTTACTGCGGAATTAGTTACAAACCTTTGATACGAGTAGCTTAACCTCGTCAACTAAAGTTCCTCTATTAACGGAGTTACGTCGAATTTAAACGGCACCTTATCCCTTGGGTAGTTCTGGACAATACGGAGAGCGTGAACTGATAGTTGCTTATTGCTTAGTGTTTTGACGCGAGGTCTCTCAACGTAGTGCCAACGGTAATCGGCCTACATCGAAATATTCTTTTTTCAGGGCAATTGCAATGGCAGTTATATATTGCTCATCAGCATCAGATTCGTTAAGTTACTCAGGTGAACGTGCTGAAAATGATAAAGACACTGGGTTCTTATTTCGGAATATTTAACAGTACTGAAACGAAATTATTACATGAATGTGCGCTGATATGACTAATATTGATCGTCTGTTTAATTGTAATTCAAACTCCTAAATTAATTAATTTAACCTTATTTTATAATTTTATCAAATTAAATATATATACGTTACTATTTTATCATATTAATTTCCATTCAATTGTATTGTAATTTGTTGTCTAACCTCTCAATTAATTAATTAAACCCTATTTTATAACTTTCCTATTTTATCATATTAATTTCCATTCAATTGTATTGTAATCTGTTGCGCATGACATAGCACTTATTAAATGGTAACTACGTTAATTGTATCTTAATGGAATAGACTGTTCATGTTTTGTGTTTAAATTAATATAATTTTGTGCTTGTGTCATCCAATGTCTTTAGTATCGCCTACTATGTTCCGTGCCTCGTGTGTTCTGTTGCCGGATCCGCTGAAAATCAGCGTCGTAGCACTTGAATGTGAGACGACAACAAGCTGAGTGGATCACAGTTTCCTTGGCAGCACAACACACACGTTTTGTACTCTATATATTATAATATATGTATTTAGTTTCAAATCCTTAGGTTATTATTACTATTATTATCAGTATTATTATTATTATTATAAAATGCATGTGTACTGTGTTTCAAGGAATAAATGATTTCTTTCTTTCTTTCTTTGATCTAAATTGGAAGTTTTTTATGATAGTAAAAAATTGGCGGCATAAATCGGTAAGGTGGCAGTACTTCCTTCTGGACGAACTCTTTCGTAAGGAGTTCTACTGCTACTGGACCTACTACTAAAATTAGAAGTTAAGTATGTGCTATTTATACATTATCTTACAGAAAGATTATACAATCATTAACTAAAAGATTAAAAAAGCAAAAACGGAAATACGAACTTTTTTCAATATTTATATGAGGCGGTAAAATTAGTAAACCGTCAGAACTTTATTTATTTTTTAAATTCCTCTTTTTACGGTGCCAACTTTTTCGATTTGAAACGCGAAGAATGAGAGTCCATTTGTTTCCTCTAGATCGTCGCTCCACTTTCGGGGTCTACGTCGATATCTACGCCCGTAGGGAGACGCGGAGAAACCTCTATTGAGAGAGACGCCAAACCTTCTACAATGTAACAAGTTTTTGTTGTAACACTAAAATACAAGTAATGGATATCTTAAGAAAAGTGGAACATTTATTATGTTGTACGTCCTACGTACAAGTACATATTCCATGCTATTTAGATACGTGAAACCACATAACAATAAATACAGTAGAAGTGGTTAGTTAGCGTTTGACGCGTGTCAACTATAGATCTCGAAAGACCTACTTGAGCTCTGTCCGCTGATTTCGGCATACAAATATGGTATGGCTGTGTCATTCTTTCGCTCAAATTCTCTAAAATCGTAGAAAAATGCTTTACTGTGCCGTTTTGGAGTGCAAAAATAATAGTTGCACCAAAAATACTACCCGTATAGTATTTCAAATCATCGGTAAGTCTTATTTTAATAAATTTTCAATTTTCTGATTATCTATTCGATCAGATGTTAATCGTTCGTTGTAGTGCAGCTACTGGCCGCAAGACGACAGCATTTTGAATAAAATTTCAATATAAAATCAAAACGTTGTTACTTGAAATTTAGAGGTATTGTACTTTGAACGATATAGCAAATGGGTAAAGTTTAAATTATATTAACAATGCGGAATTTGTTACATCTTTTTAAATTAGAAAGTATGACCAATCATTATCAAAATTTCATAGTGTTTATCATTTTGTTTGTGTGCGTTTTGGAGAGATCGGTTCCGATAGTAGTCGAGACTTATGGCACTTCCATTGTTCTTTTTCTTGCGTGCATGAAATAGTTACTGTACCCACTTGCGATAAGAGAAACAAGTTAGTCACTTTAAGTTAGGTCACAAACGAATTTCAACTATAAAATAAGGAAAAATGGCCACAGCACCGAGACATAATATGTCTCTCATATTGAGGTCGTTTTTTAATATTTACATTGTTGCAATGTTTTGTTCAATTTATTTCTCTCGTGAGTTCGGGGGTAATTTGTATTTATCTATGTGTGTGGCACCCGCGACTCAGGGTTTCCCTAGTGCGGCGCTATGTTGAGTGTGTGCGTGTTTGCAAAAACAAGGGACTAAAAACGTTGCAGTACCTCCTATATGAGGGTCTACTACAGTAGCAGTAAAGCTCCTTGTGAAAAAGTACGCCCCGAAGTCAGTACTTCCCTAGCAGTCCACCTAACCTATTTCTGCCGCCAAACTGTAATGTGAGCATTACTGCGTTCCGGTTTAGAAGGGTAAGGGTACTGGTGAAATTACAGGCACATGGGACTTGTCAACTTATGTCTCAGGGTGACGGGCGCAGTGGCAGTGCCACTCAGATCTTTGCGATTTAAAGCCCTGGGTGGCACTGATTCTGTTATGGACGCGCGTATAGCTTAAAATCTTGTGACTTGTTCGTCCCGTCACTTGATATTATAAAAAAAAATCTTGTTCCAACAATGTCCGACAGAGAACACAAATGGAGACCGAAAAACAGCACTGTGCTGAGGCTACTATAAATATAAATCAAGCCTTAGTTGAGTATAAGTAGTTCAAAAGTAGTTCATGTGATTATATGTATATACCAGCTATAGGTATGTGTGTGGTTCGTGAATAAAGTCCTATCTATTATTTATTTATTTATTTAATATATGCTCCGAGACATTTATATAAACATTATATCGGCATATCGAATTTTACGATATGTTATAATAATAATATAAATAACGCACACACTCACAGCACTATACTAAAAAACCCTGTAGCGCGTATGCCATGAACACACACATAGACAGCCACAAATTACACCCCAATTCACGATAGAAAGAAATGTAGGCCATACAAATATTTCTCCCAGCCCGAAAATAGAACCTGAGACCACTGCGTGGCAGACTAGCATGGTAACCGTTCGGCCACAGAGGCACACTGTTACCTACTATGCTGCTACTAGCTAATTGTAACGGTGCACATAGGGCGTGAATTGCGTGACGTTGATATATTGCAACTTTCGAAATTAGTAATTATTATTCCCTAAAACGGTGAAAGAACCATATTGTAATGAAACTTGCAAAAAAAGTGCACTAATCTCGACGAAAACGTATGAAAGTTTTTAGTAGACTACTTGGTAATCAGTATAACAGAATTTAATATTGTAATTGTGATAATTCCGTTAGCATTAGTCTCCAAAATTACAGAACAAAGTGACATTCAAACGGAAGCATTCCTATTCAGAAGTTTCTCTATAGCGAAGTTTCACGCCTGTCACTGAAAATGAAATGGGGTGCTGCGATAGCATATTGAGATAAATCTCTCTATATAGAGTAGGATATATAGAATAAAATGAGTAGAAAGGTTACAGGAAATTGTACCTACATTTGTCACGTATCACGTGTTCAGTACTCTAAAGTGTAATGCGTCAGTCTAATCAATTCCTTAAACAATAAGTATTGTAAAAGAGAATTAAGAATATTATTCACAGTTGATGTTAATTAAAAACAATGTTTTTGATCAATGAAAATTACTATTCTGTGCTTCTACAATCGAGGATAACAATCCTGCACCATAATACCATAGGAAGCAAGTATATGCATACATAAAATATGAAATATTAATTATTTCTATTTGTCCGCAGGGAGGTGGGTCCGCGCGCGGATGGTGCGCGAGCATGGGGGGGCCGCGGCGCATGTCCAGTGCGCTGCTGCTGCCCTTCGCGCTTCTCTCACTGCCATCTGCCGATGCTGCCAACACAACCACTTACCGGGTATGCCAATCTATGGTCTTCAAATTATCTGATAAGAAATTTTCCACAAGATTGAGACTTGCTTTCAAGTTATTTAAATACATTACAATTTCGCGATTACTACACACATTGAAAATGAAACTTATTTTAACTAGAGTACTTATATTTCTTTTTTTTTTCAATTCTATTTTGCTAATTACAATTAAGACTTATAATCTCACTATGCTTATCTTGCTTTCAATACGACGACGCATCTGTCTTTAAGTTCCCCATGCCGTTAATCTTTGTTACAATATTTATATGTTGATTAGTATAAGAACGCTACATATTTCGTATGAGCGCCTAAAATAAATTACCGTACATAAAACATACAGGTACATGACTTTCTGAGTCGGTTCACAGGCTGATACATTATATACTATATAACTCTCTTGTTTTTAAGCTGGGTGCTTTATTCGGTTTCCGACGATATAAAACAGGTAATTCAATATATTTTAGATAAAATGCCTGCGCCAGATAAAAATAAAATCTTGCGTACAATATCGAATATAATTATGTATAGTGTTTATATATAATAAGTGTATCTTATGTGATATCACGTTCAAATATTTCATTTTCTAACACCAAGAAAAATACAAACGGGAAATGGAAAATCTTGATGGAACTCCAACAGGCCTTTTTTGACAAAACTCCGCAGCTTCATTTTATTTGCTTTACTCTCTTAAATCCACACGATTTCAAGTAGGCCAAGTTGTATCCAATTCAGTTCACGTTCCTTGTATGTGTCAACACACCTCGTTAAGGAAAATAGAGGATTGTTATCCGTATAAAGATAATATCGGGATTTGCGCGGATAATATTGCGATTGGTTCCCGACGAACTGGCCCTATGGAGCGACCGTGTCCTTGAATAACGCCTTCTTATTGCCCATAAATATTCCATCATGGGGCATTGATCTCCTATTCTGCAAAACAAGGAAAAACGCGTATAGGGCCTGGATTTGTGTACTTTCTGTTTACGTGATACTGACATGTGTGGCTCTATAGATTATTATAGAAAAAACGAAATTTCCGAAGATAAAGGAGGACAGATTGTTTCCCGTTGACAAACAAAAACATTCCCCATAGTATATCGTGGATTTCAAATAAAGCCGTTTTTATAATAGTTTCCATATCGTGAAGAAGAAAAATATTACAAGAAACATAACTAGTGATAATAAATAATTTGTCTAAATTGATTTACCTGTTTTATATCGACGAAAGCCGAACGAAACACGCTGCTTAAAAACAAGAGAGTGATATACTATATAATGTATCAGCCTGTGTACAGACTCAGAAAAATATGTACCTCTATGTCTTATGTACAGTAATTTATAACGTTGTCTGGAGTTGACTGGTCCGGATTTTTATGATGAAATAGGTGCGCATTTGACCTCCTTCTCCCTTGATGGAAAGTGACGATGAGGTCGACGATGGGCCATGCATACCTAAATAATGCCTATTCACTCTTGCCTTGAAAAGGCCTAATTTTGTACACACATTGTTGCCCAAGCATAGAAGAATAAATAACGAACATTTTTGAACCTCGAATAGGGCCCTGTAGACGGTTTAGCGATATCAAATACAAAATTTGCAAGTTCAAACACAGAACATTTTTATTTTACTAAATTACGTAACTTGTTAACATGATGTGTTAGCAGAAATCGTAATAAGTTGTATTAATTTGCAAAAAGTCTGCAACTAAAGTAGAAATAAAGAAAAGTTTCTCTTTTACATTGACTGAAGATTTCATTAACAATTTGTACCTACTTATTTATATATAATGTAGAAAGGTTTCTGATGTAGTTTTATATAGCGAAAACCAATTACCATTGCAAAATCAATAAAGCAATTTCTACTTTTAGCCGACCTTCTCTATTATCTAGAATAGATGACGTGTGGAGGGCTATTCATCCCCTTGAAATAGCTCTACACCCTCTCCCCTCTGCGGAGTTCCTATGGAGTGGTCGATACATATTTAGCGCTTTTGCCTCCCACTTCTGATAGACGACACAGATTACTACGACTAAACAGTACCTATAGCCCTAACTGTCAGTATATAATGTTATAATTATTACACAAGCTAAACGATTTTAACTTATATACAAGAATACGATGTAACTGTGAAATCTAAATATATTTCGGCTTATTAGTAAACTTATCTAAATTTTAATGTAAAACGCCTGAAGCACTGGTTTTTTGAAAAAAAAAACGAAATTCAAAATTTAGACGTGAAAAAATAGTTTCATTTCCAAAAAAAATAAATACATTAAAAAATTTGCAAAATATTTTGGTTGTCTATGTAAACATCAATCGGAAATAAAAATCATAATAAAGAAATAAATAAGGGCCATACAAATATTTCTCCCAGGCCCAGGAATAGAACCCGGTACCTCTGCGTGGTATAATAACACGGTATCTGACCGTTCGGCCACGAAAGCAAGTAGAACACTCCCCCAATTTTGTTTAAAATTTTTACGTTAATACATGACATTTTTGGGCACGTTACTTGATCTCATTGAGTATAATAACCTCATCAATTAATGAAATGAAATGAAAATTTATTTGCTAATTAGGTATAATGTTACACAAAAACCGCCCTACGAGTGGTAAGTATTTAAAGTAACATTACGCAAATATTGTTTACAAATACGTTTATACATTACATTTTTAGGCCCATTCCTTGTTCTCATTGAACATAAGAACCTCATCAATTAGATATAATGTTATATAAAAACCGAGTGGTAAGTATTTAAAGTAACATGACACAAATATTGTTTATAAAAAAGAAAAGATTCAAATTACAAAATTGTTGTTGAACTTAAGCCATATTGGTAAGCATACAGGGTTAATTTCTAAATGCCTTGTTAAACATTTTTTTTGCGTACAAACTTGCGTCGGCAGTTGCATCACTATTTACGTGAAGTAAAAAAAAGCGCAAATTTCTCAAATGGTAAGTTCAATATTTTTTTTGTCTATTTCTCGGCGATGTTTTGTCTGTTATATTTTCTTCTTGAGTTTATAAAGGACTAAGTTATTATAAATATGGAAATCCGTTAATGGCACTCGAATATTCATGCTTATTGTACATCTATACTAGATGGAAATTTGACCGTTTAACTTTATCGTCAGTTCCAAGAAAATGATTCTAGAAGACTGTTCATGAATTTTGAAGATATTTTGATTGCCATTCATAGATTTTGTAAAATGATACAGCCAGATGAACGGCAATTTTCATATAGCTATATATAAAAATAGATATAAATTAGTAGAGCTCGTTGTCAAAGTCCAGGTCCAATACAAACGAACGTCCAGGGTAGTACTGCCACCTCATCTATTTTAGTAGCAAAGCCGTAATGGGAGTATTACAGCATTCCGATTTTGAAGAGTAAGGATGTTGGTGAAATTACGTGCATATGGGACTTGTCGACTTATGTCTCAGGGGAACGGGCGCAGTGGGAGTGCCCCTCAGATCTTTGCGATTTCATTTTATTTAAGTAAAATCATTTTCAAAATCTATAAGTAAAGTAGCCCTTGCTGACCCGTCTCAAATTTCTACCCTGTGGTAAATAAATACCGGTTTATTTTTTCAATTAACGGGTTATTTGAAAAAGAGTTTCGCTGAAGTCTTATCGATTTCTCTTTGCAGAAACGAACTAATCTTCTATTATGTACTTGCTAGGAAACCTCAAAAGTGTTTACTAAATAAGGAAATATGAAAGTACAGTCAACAACACATCAGGTTTGACAATTTGAACCGGTTTTATTGAAGGCGGTTCATGCAGTTGAATTTAAATCTAAAGTCTCAAGCCTGACGCGCTCTTACTATGAAATAGCTCTTTCAAAAGATGTTAAAAAAGCTCTCAAAAGTTTGAAGAATTCATCTAGTTCTAGTTCCGTAGGTAATAATAAATAAATATTTAAATATAACATAATAATATATCTTAATAAACTGTGATAAAGATTTCATGCTTACACTAGAATAACTTTATTACAATAAAGTATCGTTACAAAAGCTTTTAAGAGGGTTACATTTTAAATCTGGCCAATAAAGCTTTCAAAAACAAAAAAAGTATTTGGTTTCTAAACGAAAAGGCGTTTGAGTTTTTTTTTAGAATATTTTGTGTATTATTTTTCGCAAGAACTTAGAACCTTTCCACATGACGTTCTTTCAAAAAAAAGATAGATTTTGAACAAATAAAATATTAAAATACGCGTATTATGTTTTTAAATCTCTGTTTATATAATAACTTCTCTTTTTACTTATTTCAAAAACATTTTCCGCATAATTTAATTAGTCAAATTAATACGACACCGTAAAATGATATGCGGGTAAAATAATTAATTGGACGAATTAATTAAATGTTGAACATATGCCGAGATTAATGTTTTATTAAGGTAAGTTAACAGACTGTCCGCACTGCTTTTGCTGTATTTTGTACTACTGCATGCAAAAGAAAGGATCAGCACGCAATTTGACACTCAAAGTGTAGTCGTTTTCTACGACGCTAACAGAAGTATTTAGATGATTTTAAACTTACCTTCCTAAAACTTAGCAAACTACAACAGGAATAGCGCTAAATGCCTAATATACATTAAAATGTACTAAATAAATTACATGCTGCAGGCCCAAGCGAGTATGCCCTCAGTTTTGTATAAAATACGTATTTAATCTCCAGATACCCTATGGTCACATATAGAATATATAGAATTAAATTTCAATGCTGCCATTGCGCCTGTCACCTGAGACATAAGTTGAAAAGTCCCATGTGCCTGTAATTTCACCAGCCTCTACCCTTCGAATCTGGAACGCCCGTAATGCTCACATTGCTTGGCGGCAGAAATAGGTTAGGTACTTCCCTGGACGAACTCTTTCACAATGAGCTCTACTGTTACGTGATCATAGGACTAATATTTATCTTTTTGTTTATAATGCTAAATGACGGAACGAACAAGTCGTGTACCTGGTGGTAAGCGACACGCCTATAGCGCCAGTCCCTAACAGTTGTTGTGCCACTCAGAGCTTTAAATCACACAGATCTGAGGGGCATCGCCTCTGCGCCCGATACCGTGATGACGTAAGTTGACAAGTCCCATGTGCCTGTAATTGCACCAGCAACCTTGCCCTTCAAAACCGGAACGCTTGGCGGTAGAAACAGGTAAGGTGTCGGTTCTTCCTTGGACGAACTCTTTCACAAGGAGCTTTACAGCTACTACATTATCTGGGTCTGAATCACTTCACATATTGTATACATTTTAATGTACACCAACACTTAAGATGTAACATACCTACGTAATATAGTACAAATTGCGCAAATATCGTGTGTCAAGACTCTTAAAAAATACAAATACTGAATATGATACGCTTATTTTGAACGACGTATTTCATAGCCTCGAACTAGCAATACTCAGCAAATTCGTAGCAGCAACCCAAGTGATTTAATAACAGTGAAATGAAGAGTAATCACGCGGCATTTATTGCCTATTTTCTCACGTATCTAAGTTAATTATAACAAAGTCCTTTTCATAATTATCAAAATGTCAACCAAACTACATCTCGTCATTAAAAGTGAATCGCTCAAATGGTTTCCGTGTTCGAAAAGTTCTTGAAACAAACGATGCGTTTGACATGGAGCATGTCAACAACAGGGTTTCACTTGTAACAATATGGAACCCTAATTAAGGCGGCCGGTATGGCGGCTGGTCGGAAAATTTAGAAGCGCTATAATGGCTGCAGCCAGTCACATGTTATATATACTCCGCAATTAAGGTTTACGGTTTGGTGATGCTAAATAAGAGTGTAGTTTATTTTGTCATAGTTTTATTTACTCAATTCTGGTTATAAAGTGAAAGATTTTATTAAAAAAATTATATCGTTTTATATTTATAATTAAAGTACACTTGTGTTATATACGAAACACATATATAAAAGGAAACTTAATAGGTTACTATTGCAATGATATGGTATCAAAACTCAATTGTCTTGTGACCAGACTGCACTCTTCCAAAGATACTGTTTTATAATTGAATAACGAAAAAGACAACGAAAAAGAATTATACTTACGTCGTCTGTAATGGAGCTCTTAAAGTCATTTAAAGTTACAGTATATATGTATATTTAGTTATACGTATACAACTTTCTCATAATTAGTGTTGCGTCATGAAAAAATATCCATAAATAAAAGAATATGTTTTGGGAAAAATATATTTTTCCGTTTTTTCTGTTTTATATTTTTTCTGAAGAATATATTATTGAATAATTTATATTTGATATTTACCCTACTACTTATAATTAAGAACTGGTTAACGGAACCTTTTTATATATTCTAAAAACGTAACAAGAAGAATTAAATTCATTATGAATTCCAATAATTATTTTATGAAATTAGGGCTATATTAAATGGATATATACATATATTATGTTTGATTGCCTAATGTTGTAAAATGCTCCGGCGCAATGAAATTATTTTTATTTTGTTATCGTCAACTTATGTAGAAATATGTACACGATTTTGAATCCGCGTGATAAAGTGCCCAAAATTTTGACAGTATTCCTCCTTTGTATATTAATTCGATTCATCAACCCATTTATACGTCCTTCTGCTCGGCAATTACTTTTATTACACGACAATTTGAAAATAAAAAGAATAATAATGGCAAATTTTCTCAGTCAAAAATAAAATGAAAGTATAAAATTAAGACGGACTCGGAATTGAGTAGTAAAAATTTTCCTTTATTTTGTCTCACAACCTCAATTTCATTTAACTTTGTTCATTTTAATAATTCAGAGGGCAAATTCAAATTGAATAGTCATTATGGGTCTTGTTGGATGTTTTGAACGTCTGTTATGTATATTAATCAAATCTTTGTCTAACCATAGTTCCTTAATTTATATTTCCCCGAGCATTTTAATGTTGTTTTTATTGTTATCGTTATCTTGACATTAATCATTCGAATTGAACCATAAACCGTATTGACTGTTTTTTTTGTTATTGTACCGTATTGATTTAGGTTATAATGTAAAGGTTATAAAGTTACGATAATAAAAATACACTAAAAGCATGTCAGACACGCCTATTTACAGATTTCGTAGCCGTTTTATTTCGTCTTTATTTTGTGTACAATAAGAGCTATTTTAATTTGATTAAATTTTGGAAAAACTTTATTTTTATTAAATACCAAGTGACGGGACGAACAACTTGTGCACTTGGTGGTAAGCGACACGCCTATCCATCACACTTGCAGTGCCACTCAGAGCTTTAAATTGCAAAAAGCTCTTAGGGTCACTGCCACTGCGCCCGTCACCCTGAGACATAAGATGACAAGTTCCATATCTTATCTTATCTTGCCTGTAATTTCACCAGCACCCTTACCCTTTGAAACCCGAACGCAGTAATGCTCACATTACTGCTTGGCGGCAGAAATAGGTAAGGCAAGTATTTCCCTGGAAGAACTCTTACACAAGGAGCTCTATTGCTGCCAAACTGCTAACTTTTTATTGGTATTTAATATTCTCTTTTATTAAATATCATACACATAGTCTTGTCTTTAAGAGCTGTAAGATAATCTCAAAAATGTGAAATTACATCTATTTGCCAAGTTTTATTGAAATCGATTACCGGACAGTGCGCAAAACCGGATTCATCTCCTAGTTTGCCTAGACGTGGAATATTTTCTTCAAATTTTAATGGAACCACCACTGAGGTACCCTCTTTTCACAAAAAAAGAATCATCAACGTCGTTTCATAACCCGCGTTAATCGCGAGTTATCGCGTAACACACATACAAAAAATGCCACGGAATTGAGAACCTCCTCCTTTTTTTCTAGTCGGTTAAAAATGCAAGAAAGTGTTAAAATTAAATTAACGAATTTACGTAAAATACCACTACAGGTAGGAATACTCATAATAAATAATGGTATCGTACTATATTATTCACAGGAAGAAATCGAGTCATCGCTACGTTTAGTGCACGCAGTAGCGACTGGCGCTACAGGTGCGCTTTGCGTCACTCACCGCTACGGGCGCCTACGCGCGCCTCTACACGCTTCACGGTGGGATTCCGCCAGAGCGAGGGCGGATCTAGCCGCGAATTTCTTGCAGCAGCTGGGTTTGGATACTGTTGGTTGGTTTCTATAGTTTTTTCCTTTGTTACATTATGCATCCCAATAGACGTCTAAGTGCGTATCAACACGCAGCACATTGGGACTCAACCATCTTTCCGAAAAAATGTGTAGGTATTCCAATTCCATGAGGTTGTCCCGTTAAGTAATTGCATGCTGTTTGGAAAAACTTTGCAAGCTCAATAAGTTAAAAATGATAACTTATAATATAACAAACCAGTGGGTTAGTTCAACTTAAAGAAAAAAGGAGAGAAAAAATATGTATGTTTATAAATATATATGAGTGTATATGAGTATATGTGAGTGAATATGGGAGTGTTATGTAATGGTGAGATTAGGGGAGTACAAAATTAGGATATGTATTCCAAGAAATTTTCCACAACCTCATATTTTATTTCCAACCATTGATTTAACGCTGTCTTTAAGCCTACAGTTACATGAATTTAAAATTGAACACTTAGTGGTGGATAAATGTGGTATTCTTATTTATGACGGCCGGTGTCTGGCTCAGCTCACACATGCTAACGCTACGACTGGCTACGCATGACTCTAAAACGCTGCAGCTGCTGAGTAAACAATCTACTAAATTAATGATAAAATCTTCGAGATAGAAGTAGTTTGTTTCTATTTGTATATACTTTTTAATTAGGCGAAGGCTATAAACTTAAAGAAAAAAGCACATAAAATCTGTATTTGAAAATTAATTATAAGATTATTTCGCAATATTTAAATGTAGCATAAAGGTGACCAAAGAATTTATTAAAAATGTACACGTAGAACGAAAATTACCAAATCAAATAATAACGACACAGAAACAACGACTTCAAAATAAACTGTGAAAGCATTGTACGTAAACCAGTAATCATACACGCAAGGACATAAGTCCTTTATTACTGGTTTACGTACAATGCTCCACATCCACAATCCACATTATTGTGGACCATATAATAGATATTTCCAGCACTTTCATTAGGCTTAGTCTTGAACCTCACCTCACGTCAGCTTGCGTCGGAAACGCGTCCTTAATGGGCCGTACCAAAACGTGTGTTTATATAGAATCCAACCTTTAACTTACGTTGTTCATAAATATAATCGTCATTTGCTTCGTCCACGTGTCAACAAAATGTGACGATAAAAGCGCGGTGCGGTCGACGACCGCCTACGCACGTCCCTATATTATTATTTATTTAATGTGTTGACATTGACATGGAAACGTGATAGTGAAAAAATTTATCGTCTTTGATTGCTACGAACTAGAGTGTATATACACTCTTGCTTGGTGCGCCCCAACAACCACGCCTGCAATGCTCACAGCAATAATACAACAATAATATAATTAAATGTTCGTTATTCCTGTCACGAAGCTCACGATGGATTTCCATGGCCCGTGGTAGTACGGACCGCGCCGCGCGAGCTCGCGCCAACGCGCCCCGTGGGGAAAGTGCGACTCGTGCCGGCGCGGACTCACAACCATCTATGGGCCTGTGGCGCGGGCTTGTCCGGGCAATCGGCGCGGCGCGATGTGGTCCGTGAAGGGCCATGGGAAGCCGCCCATTTTCCTTTTCCTTTCCGCTACCTTTTTAAATAACATGTATGTTCGATGGCACTTATATACTATATCTTATGCCAATGTTTGCAATGCAAAGGACTCTCTTAGTACATTGTGTTGAAGAGTATCTTGACAAATTAAGCATTGATTTAAGACGTAACTTTATGCAAGTGGACATTATATTCGTAATATAAATACTACGCAAGTATTTGGTTGTTTAGATAAAACATGCACGGTACAGGCTAATAAAAATCTTATTATATTTTATTACATAGAGAATCGTAATAAATAAGTATTACAATAGAGCTTACATCGCGACATTTTTCTCTTCTCCAGAGTAATGTAAGAATGGATGTGTATGTACGGTTTGCTTCCATTTGACGATGGCACTTTCGCTTCATGAATGCAATTACTTTCCTTACACATGCCTCTTAGGTATATAAGCATATTAAAAGTTGTCTCAGATTTTCAGATGTAAATATTTTTAGTATATCATTTGAGGTAACATTATCAATGTTCCGCGCCAGCCTATCCTCATCCTAACCAAAATTAGAAAGCACTTAAAAGCGAAATTTCACGTGCAAGCTCTAACCGTAACAGCAACTTCTCAAAAAATGCAATTAGGTAGATAGTTAGGTAATTGGAAAATCTCTTGCAAATCGTAATTGGTCTAGTATCATCGGCAGATATTAACTTAATTTCATTTTTTTATTATATTATGTAACATCCTGTATTATCCACAATCTTTTTAACACTGCAATAAGGCGTCACCAAAATAACTAGATTTATTATAGGTAATGTCATTGCTTGACAGGCGGTTTGGCAATCCTAGGTAAAAACACAATCTAAGTGTGTAGTCATACATAATATAACATACCGAATGTACTCGACTAGGCATTGCTACTGCAAAAAAGCAGTTTGAATGCTGTCTTGAATTAATGAATACCCTAAGACGCTTTTTAAAACACCTAACGGGAAAATACAACGTCAGCCATATGTAACCATACATCCAAAAAATCTAAATATAGAGAGCTGTATTTACGTTTCAGAAACTCTAATGGCAGTATCGCAAGGTCTAGTGATGGGTTCAAGTCCATCAGAACGAGCAGTAGGAGCCAGAGCACTAGCAATAAGATCTGACGGTGTAGTAAACAGCGCTGTCGCGTGGGAACGATATGGTACCGCGGAACCCGAACCTGTTAAAGCACCACAGATAGATAAGCCACCTGATCCAGAATATCCTTGGTAAGTAAAGTGTATACATATCCATCATCTCGTAATTAAGAGCTACTGTTAGATAGATGTAGTAGATAGAGTATTTACGAACAATGACATGAAAATAATGATTTCAGTCATTGACTTACAAATAAATTTCAGTATAATAAAACACTGAGTTGCTTTTTAAAAAAACTTTCATAGCAAACGTGGCGTTTTTTGTGTGTGATGTTATTTGACGTTTTTCGATTATAATGGATGACAGTGTTAATCGCAACCAGTTTTGATCTGATAAGAAAAACATCGAAAATTTTACGTTAAATAGTTGGTTTTTGTAGCACGATTTTTACATTAAATTATTGATTTTGTTGTTCGTAGTTTTAGTAGACAATGAACGTTCTGAAATAATAGAACGCAGTTAAAATTTAACACTGAAAATTTAACAAATCTGATTTCAGGTACGTGTCAGCACACGAAAGTGAAACCCTTCGGTCGCCGAAATTCATGCCATCCCCTCCAGGAGCCACCATGGAAGGATGGTGGACTTATCCCTATTACAGTTGTGAAGCAAAACGATGGCTCCTTTCCTATACAGTGCCAGTTTCTACTATTCGGAGGTAATAAATTGTGTATTTTATGTGTTTCGCGTCAACAGACCGACCAGAAGCGAAACCGATAACGTCTTTTTCGCTCTTATTGTGTGAATGTAATTGTAAAGCATTCTTTGACCCGATTGCGCGTTAATTAGTGTAGTATTTCACTTTACTTGTCAACGATCTCAGCAGACGGTAAATGAAGATGTGGACGAGGATGGTATGTGCGTGGTTAATAGATACCAGTTAATTCTGACCTTCAAAATATCCAGGTTATATTGTTCGGGAAATATAAAAAAAGCAATGGGTTTTACCCTTACACTGTATACATAAAATCATAGATGCAAAACGCTTTACGCGAATCGATGGATTATTTATATGTATATACATTTTCATTACACTTGCTCGTAAACAGTGTCATGGCGTGCAAGCAAAGTCGATCGTAATTTATGCTTGCGGGCTTTTTCATTACATTACCCTCCTAGGGCGGTAATAAATTTTTAATTTGATTTACACTGTACTTTTATGCTCAAAAATCTGAATGTATTTCGCATATATTTCAAGTAGTACTGTAGAAAAAAACTAAACAATAATTTAAACTAATAATTAAAAATAAACATTTGTAATTTAACGATATTTTACTAAATTTAATTTTGTGAATTTTGGAAATTATTTATTTTATATTTAACACATCGTGGCTGCATGCGTCTGTGCCTTTTATTACATGTTTTTAGTTCAAGTTATGGTATTATATGAAAGAATAGCTGGCATCTGTATAAAAAAAAACATCCGTAATTTGCAAAATCCGTAAATGTTGAGCTGTGAAGCGATATTTGTTCATATTAATACATAAATTATCATTATATCTATTTCCTCGCAAATGTGATGAAGAACATTGTATGTAGCATGGGCGGTAAAAATTATAAGCCTCGAGTCACTAAAGCCCTCAAACCTTCGGCTTCGGGCTTCTTACAAACTCTCCTATAGTAATTTCTTATTTGCCGCCCATAATACACAATGTTCTACTATTACAATAGGTATAAGGGTGAAATAATTTACGTCTAATTAACATTTAATAACACAGAAATAGAACAAAGACGTCTTATTAGGTTTGCCACTTACACACAAAAAAAGGCCCAGCTTGCATCATGTGCGATGTTTCGATATATTATATTAAATACGTACCTACATGACAGGATGAAGCCTCTTGACATTTTCGTAATGAGCATGTTCGGTTCATTTTTAGCTTCAGTGATCGAATAAATAAAATGTCCATCCAAGAAACTCGCCAATCAGGTGCCACTAACTGACAAATGGTTATGTTTTTAGATTGATTTTTTATTTCTGAAAATAAAACCAATCAAAATTAAATGCCCCATTAAAATCCATATCACAGTTAAAGTAAAAGTATGTATAAGTTAAAGTAAATCGCAAAAACTTCCTAGCTTTTTAGGTAGGCAGGTTTCTGATTTTACCAATAACTATTGATTTAGGAACTAGGTAAGTCCCGACTCTCGACACTCCCAACAGCTCTGAAGTCTCATCCTCTTTCATTTCGGGGTAATGGGATCGTAAAAGACAACGAACCCGAACTCAATGTAGTGCTAATGGAGTTTTAGGGTCATTGGACAGAATCACGTGTGTTGCTAACGACTGTATAAAGACAATACATGCAGTGTAGTACACGTACGTCTGTCTATATACAGAGCAAACAATATTGTATTACACTCAAAATAGTTTGATACTCTTATCGTTTTTTAATTTTCGCATGGACATTGGCACTTATTTGAATTGCCCTTTTTCAGTTTAAAAGGGGTAGTGTCTCTCGATATAGACATATCCAGCTTGGAAATAAATCAGTGTGAAGCAGACAGTGTAGAGGACAGCGACAACCAAATTTATTCGTTCCATGGCACGCATAAGTGCCCCAATGAGACCACTTACGTAAGTAACTGTCTCGTCTATTTAATGCTAACGCCCCGTGAAGTTACAGTGCAATTAACAATAGTTGCTGAAATATAAATTTACTAACAACAAAGTGGATAATTTACAAATTATTTTTGGGTTTTTAGTGTGAATACAAACCAATTCGAGACATGAATGTGAGACACGAGGGATGGGCGCGTGGGTCATACATTTGCAGATGTCGGCCGGGATATTATTCAACACATCATCCAGAGGGATTCAATGGATCGTTAGTTGAAGGTAAGCACAAAATGCTCGCGATAAATTCTGATAGGTGCGAACGTGCGGATTATGAATTCGATTTTCGACTGGTCGGCCTTAATAAAATTGAGATTTATGTTGCTTGGCTAATCGAAACCAGAATTTTGGATGTGCAAAAACCACAGAATATTTATATCTATTCGAATTTATTATATAAAAATTCGATAGGTCTGTGTCAAAAACGAAACGCGGCGAAAATCAACGTCCCAACCAAAGACGAATCCTAAGAACATTAACCCTATGACGAATCAAATCTTTCATATTACGCACATGCAACCAAATTATTGTCGGAACTCAAAATTGTGGAATTGGAAAACACAATCTAAAAATAAACTGATCTAAAAAAGAATTAAAGAACCTAGAACTAAATCAGATAGAACAAACAATCAAATAGAACTAAATCTTAAAAAGAACTGTATAGATTGTTTTTATTAATACATAACACATAATTACTTATCCATTTTTATACGAGAATATGTAAGATATTTTTGAGATTGATAGGTTTCATTCACTATTTTTTTAAATGTTGTGTTTTCTCAATTCCACAAATTTTGAATTACAACCGCATTTATTTGGTTCACGGATTTATATATTTCATAAACTGGATCGCGCACATCGATATATCAATATTACAAATTTACACCTTATTGAGTTGTGTTAAGGTTTATTTTAAGTGAAAGTAAAAACCGAGTCACGTGATTAGCTCGACGTAGTGGTGTTATTTTTTTTTTATTTATTTATTAAGGCTTTGGCAAAGCCATTAGCCTAAACATGAAGTTTAATTATGTTTCTGTAAATATGGCCGCCACAAAGAGGATAGGCAATTTAAGGCGGCGTGCTTGGATTGACTCGGAATTCCTTAAAACGGGCTGATACATACGGGTATTTTAGTTCGAGATTCGTATAATTTCGCGTTTTAATCTTCGATTAAGGCACAATAGCACTAACCTATTCCACTTTAAACTAGATTTCACAAAATAATTGAAAGTCAAAATAAAAACGACACTTTTCCCTCCAAAAGGTCCAGACCGGATCTAGTGGTCTGTCCTTGTCGAACACGTTGCCAACGCTAAATAAAATCATCTTAGTCTATTAACTTTTTTTAATTTGTTTTTTAATTTAAAAAAAAATGCTTTTTTTAAATAAAATTAGCTTAAAGGTAATATGCTTTTACTGTAATAATACAAAAAACAATATATCAACAACAAAACCGTCTTTTATGAAGTAGCATATCAAATAAGTACAGTAATTTGTAGTATGAAATAATATTAGTAGTTTTGGTCACCCATAAGCGGCAACATTTTCTGTAAAAATTAAAAAGTTACAAACTTACAAACAATATGGCTGGCTGAAACATGAATGAACATATGGACACCCTATTAGAAAGAGACGCATTACTACTTTGAAACCTCTCACTCGGCTCGTTTTATTAGCTTAGTGCGCGATACAGTTTATACAAGTCTGTGGTTCCGTGTGCGAATACAGATAGTAAGAAAAACTAATTCAAATCTAGATTGGCTTACTTAATTTACTCCAATGCCTAACAAAATTATATTAAAAAATAATTTAATGTCAAATTACCGCTTAGATAAATATTCGTGTTTGTGATTTTTTCACAAAATAGAAAAAAATTTCAAAAATGTGCTTTTTATATCGATGTGATGTCGAACTTTTCAAAAAAGAAGATACTGTGAATGCGGAGGATGTATTGCAGTATTAACTACATAGGAGTACGCTTGTTTTCCTCTGAAATATTTTAGTGAACTATCCTATCGTTTTCTAGAATTATTATGATCTAACTTTGTATTGTTTTCTTTCCAGTTGCATACCAGGACTTTGAGGAAAACAATGTAGAAAACTGGAGCGAACCGTACGAATGTCTGAAATGCCAGCCTGGCTGCGAAACATGTCGCGGCCCAGAGCCTTGTCTTGCCACTTACAACTGGCCTTTTCGGTAAAGTTTGTTTTTTAAACCAACATTGTACTTAATGTGCAAAACACAGTGACTAAGTAAGAAAAGTGCGTTTTTAAACTTTTTGTGAAAGCTAATCATTTTAAAAAAAAACTTAAAAAAAAAAAATCATTTGTACCTACCGTTTTAGTTCTACAGTATTCAAGTAATCAGTTCTTGATAAGAAAATTTGTCAATTTCAGGATATCTCTTCTAGTAATATCAGTAAGCTGTGCTGTCATGACAGTGGCCCTTGTCATCTACACTCGCCACCACCGCAGGGTAAAGGTTTTCAGAGTTGCAAGTCCTGTCTTTCTCTCTATTACCTTGCTGGGTTGTGCCATTATGTATATGGAGGTGAGAAACAGAATGATTCTTTGATTACAACTTTATACATTCTATCCACTGACATACCATATTCTATCACATCAACCCATGTTGCCATTAATGCTAGATGGTAATGCTACTGAAATAATAGTTAATTCTGCCATCTGCTAACTAAAACCATGGACCAATGACTCAAGACAACTGCTAATCTCCATACTACAGATTGTAACTCTGAAAAAGGTCAATATTCTATCTTACATCTAGATGACGCTGATTGATAGCCTGGAAGAAGTTTATATTCAGTAGTCACTTTTTTCCTTGTAATATTTAGGTATTGACTATGAACTAAAATTATTTTCGGAACCTTGACAAATATGCTTGTATTATATTATATATATAGTAATAGATAAATTACCTCTTGCTAATATGGATAGATGGCGCTAATTCTAAACAAATTAAAACAATTAGCCAGCAGTATCTATAAAAATTTGTGCAATAAGTGCCATTTAGTAGATTTGTTTGTTATCACTAGAAATTAGAGTCGGTTTGAAAAAATTGTACTCCGTAACTTATTCACAAATTAGTTTTAAAAGATTGCTAAGCTATGTTGAATTTTGAACTCTATCCTCAACTGTCACTTAACCGCATTTTAGTTAGGAATAGCAGAATGCATTAGTGCCCGTCTAAACATGCCCTGGAACATTATAAGATAGAAGACAACTATACACTGGACAACACTCATTGCAGTTACAAATTCTACATTGCCCTTCTGTTTCATATCCCACAGATGGCCGCCATATTTCCAGTTCTGGATAGATATTCTTGTATTGCTACGAAATGGACACGCCACTTGGGTTTTTGTATCACTTACACAGCTCTGCTTATGAAAACTTGGAGGTAACTAAATTAATACAAATGACATAAAACAAAAACCTTTATACAGGGTTCTTTGTAAAATACTAACAACACTATATTACTAACATCATAAACAAGAACTTTTGTACCATGATTTAATAATTCATAACATTTTACTTTCATACAAAATGAAATAGTGAAATAACTCTTTGCAGTTACAAAAGAAAGAGCTAGCGTAAATACTAATGCGATGCAAAACATAAGTGTGTGTATCCTCCGGCAAGACGCTCACAAATCTAAAAAGTGTCAAATCACATTACAAAAACCTGAAAATTTATTTTTGTATCGTTAATTTACTGTGTTTTGTAAAAAAATCTGAAATAAAAGTTGTTTTTGTGATATTAACATTAGTAATATAATCTTGCGACCCTGTTAGTATTTTATAAATAGTCATGTATAATTCCATCATACTAAATTATAGGTAATAACCTTTTAATTGAACCTTAAACTTAATTTCACCTTTGTAAACTGATTCAAGTAGTTCCCTATAGTTTGTGTTATTTATTATAGTTTGTACACGGTACATTGTGCAATTTATTATTTATCTATTTTAATTTCGGAAAAAGAGTTGTCTTATCTTTAAATCCCAAATACATATCTGAACCTCTGATTTCATGGCCAGGCAAGTGTTTTGGCCTATATAGTGGCCATTTGTGGTCTCTTCATATAGGAGAATAATAAAAATAAAGAGAATCTAGTTTATTAATTGTATATGCCATAAACTCTTATAACAGTGTCAAATTCTTACTTTCAGAGTATCTTTAACATACCGTGTAAAGTCGGCGCATAAGCTCAAGTTGACAGACAAACAATTGCTTCAGTGGATGGCACCTATTCTCCTTATAATGCTGGTCTACCTTGGCACTTGGACTTTGTCTGCGCCTCCTGATGCTGAAGTAGTAAGTATAATTGGCCAACCTTGTCAATGAGCAGCTGAAAGGTCTCCTTAAAAACACTAAATACCAATACATCCAAAGAAGCATTTTCTCCAAAATGTGTTTTCCCAAGTTTTTTGTCTTGTTTTCTTGAAAGGGTAAAGTAAGTCTTATATTACATAACATAATATATTATATACCTAATTTTCAGATCACCGACAACAAGGGTTTGAAGTTCAAGCAGTGTACTTATAACTGGTGGGATCACAGTTTAGCTATAGGTAATGTAGTAACATATCCATTTTTATACATTTTTTTTTATAACATCAAGTGACAGGACGTACAAGTCGTGCGCCTTATGGTAAGCTACACGCCTGTCCATAACAGTTGCATTGCCACTCAGAACTTGAAATCACAAAAATTTGAGGGGCACTGCCACTGCGCCTGTCACTCTCGCGACATAAGTTGACAAGTCTCATGTGCCTGTAACTGCACCTTTACACTTCAAAACCGGAACACAGTAATGCTGACATTACTGCTTGGCGGCAGAAATAGGTAAAGTGGCAGCACTTCCCTGGACGAACTCTGTCACATGGAGCTCTACTGCTGTTAAATACATACACTAATAGTTTTTGTTTTTCTTCAATGTTTAAATGAAACTGATTTCACAGTGTCCTATGAAATTTGTTTTTTCCATACATAATATTGTGTATAAAATAAATTCCAGCACTCTTCGTACATTTTAAGACTCTTGATGTCGAATTCTGAGACACTCTGTACATAGTGACACTAGTAATCGTATGGGAGAATTCACAAACAAATATTAAGGCGAGCCACTGGAGGAGTATCGGGGAAAACTGTTTTGTTAGATCAAAAGGTTTATGTATTTACTATTACATACCTGAAAATTTTGATCCAAATAAATATACGATACGCCTAAGGATATTGCTAAAGAATGTGCTAATTCGTTACACAGATATAAATTACTCGATGAAATAAAATCCCAAAAACAGGATAAAATAAAAGTCCAAAACTTAAATAAATCTAACTGCCTCCATGGGCGAACGGTTATCATGCTGGACTGCCAGCTGCCTGAGGTCTCAGGTTCGATTCACGGGCCGGGAAAAATATTTGTATAGCCTATATTTATTTTTGTCGTGAGTTTGAGTGTAATTTGTGGTTGTCTATGTGTGTGTCCGTGGCACCCGCCACACAGGGTTTTCCTAGTGCGGGGCTATGTTGAGTGTATGCGTTATTGTTATTATCTTTAAGAAAAAATATGAGACTGCATATAATTTTTAAATGGAAATATTTCTCTTTAAATACCAACAGAGAACCTGCAAAATTTTGGTTTTCAACTGAAGCCCTATAGTTATTAATTTCACATTTATTCCAAAACTTGAAAATTGCCCAGCGGTTTAAACCGAAAGGATTGTAATCCTAACAAGACCAGGTTCGCGGCAGTAAAACAGAAAACTTCAGGTCCACAAATTTATTTAAAGTCGGTTAAAGAGAAGGAAGGTAACAATTAGTAAGGCTGTAACAATAAAAGGTATATATAGAAAACAGGTACATTATTATATAACATTTCCTAACTTAATGATGATGAATATAAAGATGTAACTTCGTTGTAAATTCTCAGTTTTAAGCTTAGTTACAAAGCTTTCCCAACACAAGCATACCTTTGCTTAAAGGGAGGACCTGATCTACCATTGTTGAACCAAATTGAGAAATAAATAAATTTTTAATTTTTTAATTTAATTAAAGTACACTTACCCCAAAAGGGCTGAGGTATTCTGAATTACAGATGCGTATTCATAGGTACACACGCCAGCACATCAAGCTACACATTGACGTATCTTGTTCCGTTGCACTGGAGGCGATTTTCGAACAAAAATGTGTAGTCTGATGTGCCGTTGTCCGTACATGATAAGGCTGTAGTGGCTATAAACTTATTAAAATTGACACATGATTTAGATTACTAATGATTATAAAATTAGTAAAGGAATCAAAACTAGACGCGATTGAATTTTAACCAACTCCGTACGCTGTCGCGATCGAGCAGGGAGTGACGGTGGAACGAAACAAAATCAGAATGCGAAGCAAAAGAGCTATGGAACAATTCAAAATTTAAATTTAAATACGAGTGGCCAGGAACCGGAGAAAGGCGGTAAAAAGGTGGAATGACGATGTAAGGACGTCACACCGCCACAAAACGACAAGAAGCGCTTCCCGCTGCCCCGTCAGTCCCCCCTTGTCAACGTCGGGTGTTTGTCAAATTTTCTCCGCCTGTTCTTATTTTATTCATGTTATGTGAGACGCGAGAGGCGATAACCTCACCTCGTAAATACTAGACTCGCATTCAAATACCTCGCCCTAAAATAAAATTGTAAATTTCCAGGTGAAATCTTGTTTCTGTTATGGGGTGTTCGTGTGTGCTACCGCGTGCGGCACGCCGAGAGTCTGTACAACGAGGCTCGGCTCATTTCCATCGCCATTTACAACATCTTCACTGTTAATTCACTTATGATTGCTTTTCAGTAAGTATATTGTACTTTTTAAAACTACCCATCTTCAAATAAGAGGAAGTTCTTATTTCGCCTTTGCACTTTGCTTGCCTAACTCAAATAAACCAAAAATGCAAAATCTTGGTAGGTTAACAAATTAAATTAAGTCGTTAAAATGATTTAACATCATTTTTTCGTGATTTCACAGTGAGTAGTCACAGATTCACCTGAGAAGAACAATTGAGAAAATGTGATTGTTCTTTGTCAATTCGTATTATATGTAAAAGATAATATCTATTTACTGACTTTCATTTCATTGTAAACTTTTACACCAGTACGTTATATTTTCACAACGAAAATCACATTTTCAATCTGCCTGTAACAAATGATTCATAAATCAATAGGTTTGAAATGGCATTCTAAAAACAGAGTAGCAACAACAAGATATACACTATGTAATCATAGCCTACATAGAAACTCTTAAAATGTTAACTTGACTATGAAATTGTGTATTCTGTTTCAGTTTATTAATCCTGCCACGAGCTGGGCCTGACATCAAGTATCTGCTTGGTTTTATAAGAACTCAATTATCTACATCCACTACAGTGCTGTTTGTGTTCCTGCCAAAGGTGCGAAAAGCTTTTTACTTTGATATGATTTAAGATGCAACCGATAGAATAACTCTAGGATTCTCATATATTTTCAGCCATATGATATGATAATGAAAAGTACCTACATACTGAAATAGTGTTGAAAATAATTGCGTTGGACTGCCAATCGAATATATTAAATCTATCGCAATGAAAATCTGTAGTTCTTGTTGTCTGTAGTCTTATGGACTGGAGCAGTATGATTCCTTCTGGATGTGTTGGCGTACCCCAGGGCGGTGTACTTGGGCCAAGTTTGTTTTTTATTTATACTTATGACTGATTGTACTGATGACGCGTATAGTGACAGATGGCAATTTTTGTACACCACACATGTAGATGTTTAACGTCAAAAATGACGGCTAAAATCTTCTAAAATACTCGCTAGTTATTGAGGTGACTAAGGATTAGAATATGAAACATTTCGCAATCAGGTGCTTCGCGTAGTGCGAGGCACGGGCGATACGTGGGACAGCCGAGCACGCGCCCGCGGCGTCCCCGCCTCCTCTTCGCTCAACGGCATCGGCCTCGTACCCGACGAACCGCCGGACTTGTACCAGGAAAACGAGGAACTTAAGGTATATGGAGAGAAATGCTGTCAACGCAACGCTATTATGCTAAGCTCTGAATAGCCCAATTCAATTAAATTGTTACTACGTACGTACCAGTCCACCTCCCCTTCACACGTAAGATTTAAATTCAACTCCCGGACATTTACGTATACGATTCAAAGCGTAAAACCCAGCGCGCTGTTCACTGTACAAGTTATAACATATGTTATAATATTACGTATAGGAATAGTCAACCGAAATTAGGGGATAGTTTTTTAGAGCGCGCTGTGTAAAAATTTTGTACAATTATTAACAGACTTGGAAGGTGGAGCTTGCTAGGGCAAAGATAATGGTACCTTCACATCAGGTGAAGTTGAGTCATCTGCCTGTCATGTATAAAAGAAAAAAACTCGTAAGAAATACAACTTTATACTACAATGTTAAGACAAACATTTCCGATATATTTTGAAATGATAGTCTTCGGGACAAAAGAACTTAAACCTTGATCTGCAAATCTACCACAGAGAAATGTTTCTAAACGAGTGCTATCTCACTCACACAGCACCGCACTCGCGTCGTGGCCAGAAGAAATAGCAAGAATAAAGCACAAATGCTATTAAAATATTATTTGCTTGGTAAAAACTACCCTCAGTTAATAGTTAGACCTCCTTGTGAAAGAGTTCGGCCAGGGAAATAACCTACCTATTTCTGCAGCCAAGTAGTAATGTGAGCATTACTGCGTTTCGGTTTTAAAGGATAAGGGTGCTGGCGAAGTCACAGACACATGTACTGTTGGGTAATTTTCTGAAAAAATTCAAATAGTCGAAAATTTTCCGAAACATTTGAAATATTGGAAAAATATAATTTCCAAGGCTTATATTATGTTTTATGTTTAGGAATATATTTTAAAGTTTTATTTAGCGTTAATTATAAAATAAACTTGTATAGCTAAAGCCACTTATAGAAAAACGGGATTTAAAAATTATTTCACAACAGCGAAAAAACCTCCAACAACCACACCACCACCACTTGTTGGCTTCATCGTTTTTGTTCAGTAACTTCAACATTTGATAGGTGTCAACGTCAAATGTGGAAAATTGAAAGAAAAATATCCAGAAAAATATTTATATTTTCTGACAAATATGAGTTTTTCAAAATGGAAATTTTTCCATGACCCGACACTAGATACATGGGATTTGTCAATTTGTCGCTTCCCATCTTAGAGGATGAAAAAAAAATAAAGGAAACGAGCTGCCCTATCTACGGAATATACGTGCCTACCTAAACCAAAAATGTCCATCACAAAAGGCGGATTTAGGGTCGTATTCCAGAACTCTACTCAATGCTCAAGTCAGGATCTGAGTATGATTTCAAGCACTGGAAATACGACCCTAATGGAAGAGACTTGAGTATGATTTGGAGTGCTTTAAACCATACTCAAATCCTGACTTGAGCATTGAGTAGAGTTCTAGAATACGACCCTAAGTGTTGTACCATAATCATAGATAAGTCAATATCGACATGCAAATATGTATATGGCCTGAATGTTGAAACTGTTTTTTATGTTTGCAAATTTGTATAGTTTACTGTAATCAAAGTATGATTAATACTAGGCTAGTATTACTAGGCAAGTAATGAGCCATTTTAATCAAAATTTGATATAAAGTTATTTACCAATAAATGTAACGATGGAATTGCATTATCATGTAATCTAATTACATTCAAAGTTCTATTACTAAATTTGACTCCAAATACTTCAAGATGGTATTTGATCCAATGTTTATGTTCGGCAGTCCTATAATTTCCAAACATTCTTTCTTTTTTCATTTGCAGGTAAACTTTAAAAATAATAATAATGAAATAATAAAAACCTCGTAGTGAATTGTTTTAATAACAGAATATCGATAATATGTCTGCTTACTAGAACAACACTATCTCAAAATAATCGTTGTCAACAACCATCAAAATATACTAACAAACAGGCAATCTAAAGTAATCAAAGCAAAATTCGGCAAGACTTATGAATAATCTACTTAATTGAGTTTAATTACGTGAGATATTTGGGCTATTGTATGATTTATAGGCAGGAAAATAACACGTGCCGGTGTAATGTAACATTCGGTTGATTCCGGATTTTCTACTGCCGCACCCCTTAATGATGCTGCGACGCATTTTTATCAATACTTAATTGCTCTCACTGTCAATATTTTTGTCTCTTTCATTACAATTCATGCGAATAATTCCCTAAGGCATTTGGCCAAACATTGGTTTTGACATTTTGTACTACAAAAATGGCAAAATAAGGACAGTTGGCATTTAAGATGACGTTACGTACGGTTTGTTTGAAAAAAACAAATATACGCGATTTAAATCCGGAAAAATACTTTTATTTTTCCTATGTGTAACAATCGCGAAAACCTAAGAACTCGATAGTTACGTATTTTTGATTCGCGTGTTTGACATAAATCAATGTAGTGCTATTTCTTTTGCCTTACGACGGCACGCAGTAGTTAAACAAAGACAATAAAATGTTTATGTTTTCACCGTCTAAATGCATTATATACATATAACATCTGATATATATGTATATGTCAATATAACATGTCCTTTGGTTTCCATAGTCTAAGTTTACCATCAGGTGCATAACTTGTTCATTCCATCACTTGGTATCATTAAAAAAACATCCCCTAAAACTTCTATATAAAAAAACGAAAATCAGATATTTTAATTCTAGACCCGAGTTTCATATTCAAGTTGATTCGTGTTAAGAGTTGTAAATTTTATCAACAGGAGGAGGTGCAAAAGCTAGCAGCGCAAATAGAGTTCATGAAGATCGTACAGATGGAAATGCACAATCGACATCTGCGACCGCGACCCGGCGGATATTTCAGCTCGAATAACACTGCTCAGAGCCCTATGCATGCCAAAACTGTTAACATTTCGATGGTAAATCATTTATGTATGCTTGAACACTTTTGTAAGTAGGTGCCGTTAAGAGAAAGTAAGTGAGAACTTCTTACTCAATTTTAATTTTTATTGAGCGAAAAAGTAGCTTTCCATTGAAGAAGACTATCTATAACTTAGGAAATATCACTTGACTTTTCCATATATTTATTATTAACACCAAATGTAGTATTTTAAATGTGAGAGTAACCTCAGACTCGACAATTATGTGTATAATAATAGTATTATTATATGGATTTGGAAATAGCTCCACATCCCGGGAAAAAAATCGAGATTCGGGGTAGTCTTGAAAATACCGGACTAAACGAGACTTTCAAAAACAGGTTTCCATACTTACGAGATAGCCGTTTAGGCAATCAAAATGTGAGATTTTAATAAATGTCTTTATTAATTCAAATGATAAAATTACAAATTGTTTGTGAAAGTTTTTTCGTTTTTATAATGGACGCGACGAACGAAATAAACGGCGTTTAGTGTAGTTTCAGACAGAGAGGACCGATTTTATTACTTGCGTTCGACAATCTCTAGATATTATACTAGCCTCCATTTCATTGTTGTCATGACCTGTTCTAACCAGAATATAAAAAAAATGTTTAATAGCGTTTTTAAACTGTTTCATTTAGTGGCTTAAGTCTAAAGTCGATATCAGTCTCGAGTCTCGAAAGTGTCTTGAAATCGTTGAGACTGAAATTTTCGAGACCGAGACTCCTGGGATGGAAGCTCCAGTTCATAGTTCCAATGACTAAAAGTGGTTTGGCGGCGACTTTTAGCAGCAATCCAAACGCGCTTTGACATCGATGCAAATGCGCGACTGCATCGATACAAACTCGAGATTGCATCGAAGCAATCGCCTATACATCCCAAGTGTAGCGATGCAGTCGCGCACTTGCATAGCTGCTTAAAATCGCGCGCGTGTGTAAAGGTAGACGATTAACAACTGCATCGCTGCTAAAAGTCCCCGTGTGTAACGCTCTTACTCTTAAAAACAGTCGTAAAGTGTGGTGGTATGCTAAAATAATGTTTCTGTAATACTCAAGGAGAACACAGACTGGCCGGGCCCGGTGTGACTGGTGGCGCTGAGTGACAGCGGCTGGCGCTGGCCGGGGCCAGCGGCGCGGAAGATAGTACGCGCCGTCGACGCGAGATCGCCCGCCTTCGTCTGACACACACGCACAGAAGGCCACACACATATACGTTCCATAGCTGGGTAGGGGTCAACAGTTGTAAAATACTAATGACCACGCAAAGCATATTATTACTGACATCATAAACATAAGTCAATGATCATAAACAACAAATTTTGTTCCATGACTGTTCACTAAACATAGTTTTTGTTGTACTATCTGACACTTTAGATCTATATTTGGTAGTAAGTTCAAATGCTCAGGCGGCCGCCCCGACAACCCTCGCTTCCGCTCCTGCGTTTTACATCGGACTGTAGCGCGATACCAAATGTGCTTTACGTGTCACACGTATAACGGCTTTTTGCTTAGGTTTTTGTTTTGACAGTTAGCGCGATACGAAATGTACGCAACGTGTCACATTGGCGAGGTTGAAGGTTTTGGTTAAACCTTTGACAATTAGCGCGATTGGCCCCCTGGTTTGAACGCTAGTGCTTTCTTTTGTTACCGCACAGAGTTGTCACCGTTTAGAGCGATCTGTTTAAATATTTTTATTTTTATACAAAACTGAAATCTGATATATTGTTAAAAGAAGTTGGTTATGGTATTAGTAATATAATAATAATGCACATACTCATAGTCCCGCACTAGGGAAACCCTGTATCGCGAGTGCCATGGACACAGAGGTAGATTACCTCAAATTACACCCAAACTCACGAGAGAAATAAATGTAGGCCATACAAATATTTCTCCTGGCCCAGGAATCGAACCAGGAATTCTGCGTGGCAGTCCAGTGTGGTAACCTTTCGGCGCGAGGTTGTTAGTATTTTACAAATGACCCTGTATACAAACTGCTAAAATTCCATGCAAATAAAAAACATCTCGATACAAATAAAATTGCCTGTAATTTCGAAATAACTATCAAAGTGACACCATACGTGTGGCTGTGCGCTCATGCTTCTATTACGTTGGCTGCTGTTACCACATTCATTTATAAGGAGATTTTCTGTTGCGCAATTCACCATATTCGTCCAACTATTATAAAAACCTTTATGGAAAGAACCCCCATAACATAATGATTGACATTAACTGATAGGAAGTTATAGGTCACAGGGTTTATACCACAAAATGCAGATGTGCTTTTCTGTTCTCTCTCATGGCGTGTAGGGTTAACGTAAATTACCCCCTAAGCTGGTCAGCTAAGCCATAGAGCAACTTATAGTTTGAATTTATAAGGTCACAAACTATAAACACCATAGTTTATTGCGCAACAAGAATATTACCTATTTTATTAAACATGCTTGAACGAGTATAATTTTTGTAATAGCATTTATGTAGTCGTATAATTAACAAGTGTAGTATTATAATTACGAGTATTCATGTGACTGGTACAACTTTCTTTTGTTTTTTATAGTTGTTTAAGTAATGTAATTTAATCAACTTATTTGGTAAATGTGTGTTCTTAATGTAAGATGACAAGTCATTCCATATATTTATTTTAGTATGTGGTGTAAATGTGGTCAATAAAGCCAAAGATTTATGTTGTTGTAAAGTTGTGATAGATTGTTATAAAAACTTTGCATTGTTGGGGAATGTTGAATTTGTCTGAGAAGCTTTTAATTTGCACCGTAACTGTCTATGGTTAAGGAATATTAATTTCTCATTAGAATTACAAATTCGCGCACTAAGAAACGTAAATAATTCAAACATAAAATATAGAAGAAGTGCAATAATAATAAATAGTTAATAAGAATATTGTAGGTAGACAAAAATACAACCGAACGTATCTACGTTCGGTTGTATTTTTGTCTGCCGCGTCCTATATCTATACGACGCGGCAGAACGTACAAAATGTGGCACGTTTTCAAACGTGTAAGTATAATTTTCTGATATGTATTTTCGTAATAATTTGTTACTAAATGTATATACATAAATACATACCACATAACATAATATATTTACTTTTTTAATATTTTTGCGCCTACGAGGCCCATTACCTTAATAAAATCTACGGTAATGATCTGTTTAGCTGCGATGATAAATATCAAGAAATATCTTTTTACAAGGAGTTTGGTCCGCGTTGACCCATAATGGGTAGATAAATCCCAAACAGATTTAATGTTATCTAACAATGCCCAGTTACTCGACATACGAAGTATTACAAAAACCACAGAAATGCTATACTAGTCAAATTCATATAGCGTATCATAGATTTTATTCCAAAAATATACTATTTTTTTTTTGTTACAATGATGTTGTAGAAATTTATAAATGTTGAACAATGTTCATTAGGTCAGACAATAAAAAAAATCAAAATTGTTACTTTTGTAAGGCATTCGGTATTTTTAAAGTATTGAAAGATTTTATTTAGATAAAAATTTACATGATTTTTTTTAAATATAAATCTTTAATATGATTCTTTAAAAAATATTCATTATATAATTAAGAGATTAAGTAATAGGTAGTATCAATGTATAGCTTAGAAAATAGGTGTATATGTATCTAAAAAAATTGTAAATATAACTCAAGATAAGCGCATAAATTCTAAAGTGTTGTACATAAATTCATTGTTAGTCATTTATTTACTTTTGTCTATTTAATTTTCAATTGCATTGAAACAATTTCAAGTTTTTGTGACACTTTAATATATATAACTATAGGAGACTTGTATCTAACGCACTGTATAAAATAATATTGCTAAGTTCACTGACATACCAGCTGCAGGGTGCAGTTGGTACCTTACGCGAATTTTCGATGAGCACATAAGATATCCAGCATCATATCGAAAGATAAACTTATGGCTCTATTACAAATATTTACAGTAGAACTAGTTCTGTTGCTCAAGATTGTTTTTGGCCTAGTTGTTCGGTGTAATGCTCTCCAAATTCTAAACTCCCACACTTATTTATACTGTAGATAATGATGACATATACTTTATAATTACTCAGATTACCTTATTATTCTAAATTGTAAAGTATATGTTTCATTATCAACCCATATCGATACCAGAAGTATCAATTAACGTAAGGGACATTTTGTCGAAAATGAGTTACATATATCATTGGATTCAGAAGTTCCCGCTCTATCGATTGATATTATTAAAATTTTGGAATGCCCTGTGGTTTAAAATATACCATGTCTCGTACGTTAAAAAACAGTAAAAAAAAAGGTGTTTAGTTGTGCCTTACGTTACTAATATATATAACACAACTAAACATCTTTTTTTAATGTAATGGACATGCTATATTTCCAACCACTGGGCATTCCTTAAATCTTTCGTTTATAGCATGAAAAAAGAGGAAATTCTAAGAAACTTTACTCTACACACAATCAAAATTAGACTAGACAGTAAAAACGCTTAAAAAAAACATTTTTTGGCTCTCCTAAAAAACCGTGGTTTGTCCCTTACATTAATTGACACTTCAGGTATGCGGCAGTGGGCTGCCGAGCGCTGGTCAACCTTAGTGTCAAAGGCATATGTCATTCTTCTGTCTTGTACTTAGCTAAGACACATGAGAAATGTTAGAAATTAACGTTCATAGAAAAGCTTATCTACTGTTACATTTTTTATGCTAGTTTTACTATTTCTAGCACTTCATAATTACTTTAAAAATATTTCTTCAATCTAGTGAACTATTCAATTGATAGCAGTACATTGCTGTTGTCCTCAGAGGAGCAAAGCTCCTTTGTACAATTGGCGTCAGTAGTGCTAAAGTCATAAATGTGATACAAAAATATAAGTAGATAGAATAGAAAATTACCAAAAAAGTTTTGTGATTATCGTGTTCTTAAGTTTTCGCGATAGTTGCACATTGGAAATGAAACTATTTTTTTAAAGTAACCCGCGTATTATGTTAGTTTGACAACCCAACATTTTCGGGCGTTTACAGTTGACTGAGATGGTATGGTCATCAATAAATCATGTCTAATATTAATAATGCGTACCACCCTAGGAGTAGAGTTACCCTATTCTCCCTATTATTTATTTGTTAAAAAAAAGTTTCATTTCGAATTAGTTATAATATTTATTTAAATGTTGAAACTTCACATCTCAATGTGTAATGTAATCTATTAATTGTGCCAATTATAATCTTTATAAATCCCAAGTTACTTTTTAACAAGTTATTAGAATATATTTTCGTGAATTAAAAACTATAACTGATGAGAATAGAGTATTTGATGTTATATGATATAGAATTGATGTAATAATTGTTATTCTCTGATAATTGTTTAGGTAAATTATTGTGTAAGAAGTTCTGTTTTTACATTAAAATAAAAATATCTGTTTACAAAGTTTTATTTTATTATGTACAGTCAAGGCACATCAACTTGACACTGGACCATACTTATCACAAGCAACATAAACTTGAATTTGAACCCTGAGTCCGTTCATCCTGATACCACATAAGTAAATAAAACAAAACAAATGTTTTGATGTATGACCTTGTATATTTCAATATAGTTTAGGACCTATGAAGGGGCTGGTGTAAAGCCATAGTCTAGTGAGATAATGAGAATGGCAAAGTTATACTTATTTTTCGTATGATACCTCTTTCCAGCCATGTGACTTTATAAATTTGTAGGTCGATTATTAGTCTACCAAATCCAAGATGAGATAGACGAGATATTTTTCAAAACTTTATGCATAAATAAATAACGCACACACTCAACATAGGCCCGCACTAGGGAAACTCTGTGTCGCGGGTGCCATGGGCACACACATAGACAACCACAAATTACACCCAAACTCACGAGAGAAATAAATGTAGGCCATACACATATTTCTCCCGGCCTGGGAATCAGTCCGGCATGGTAACCGTTCGGCCACGGAGGCAGTTATAGCATAGAGATATCACCATTTAGGGTGATCTATTTAATTTACATCTATTCACTTTATATAATTGTAACTGCCTACCTAACCGAACCACCGAACCACGCAGAGGTCCCAGGGTCGATTCCCGGGCTGAGTTTGGGTGTAATTTGTGGTTGTCTATGTGTGGCACCCGCGACACAGGGTTTCCCTAATGCGGGGCTATCTTGACATTATTATAATAATAATAATAATGCATACACTCAATTATAATTGCACAAGAGTTAAATCTGATTAATTATTAAGTCATCAAACAAAAATTGTTGTTTATGACGTTAGTAAATATAGTCCTGCAAAGTACAGTACCTATATAGCTTTAATTTTACAAAGAATCAAGCAGTAGTACTACACATGAGATTTCATACATCATATCAACTCAATTAAGTTATAATTGAGGAGCGTCGAAATAAAAACTCATTTGACCTGTTCTGCGTTTTTAATGGCAATTGATAGTTTTTGTATGTTTCTATGAATAATTTATCCAACCTGAAAAGCAACCACTAAATCATCCTTCAAAATATGTTTCAAATGCGCAGATCTGACACAATGGGACAAATCCAGTAAATGGACAAAATTAGAATTGAATTTATCAATTTTTGTTCTGAAGCTTCTCAATTTTATTACAATTTATGACCAGCATTATTACATATTTAAGTGTTACTTATCAAAAAAATTGTCTTCACTAGACTTCATTTGTACATTCATGAAAGGTACATTTGTACACAAAAACTGTGTATCATTCTGTAATGTCTTGAGGCCCTCAGCCCCCTCAATGTTTTTGTTCAATAAATCTAGAACTTCCATGTCCTTCTTGGCAGTCTCACAAACCTCTTCAACTGATGTCAGTTCATCTTCTTCAGCAGTCAATAAGGCTTCCATTAAAGCTGCCCTTTCGACTCTTCTTCTTAAATTAGCCACCTCTTCTTTTAATCTGACATAGTCCTCATCCGTTGACTGTTGAATTTGAACCTCATCCTCAGGCAGAAGCACATTAGAAGGCACTTTCAATATCCTTTCGATTTCCTCGTCAATAATGTGTAAAGACGGTCCCGCGCGATGGCAGTACAGCCGCAAAAGCTTATCACACGAATGTGTCAAGGTTAACTTGTCAGTATCATTCAATTCCAAGGATTCCAGAAGATAAGATTTCATTTCTTTTACTCCAGTTTCAATTTTCTGCTCCACCATTTGACGCACTGCAATTTTGAGACGCTGTGCGCCAAAACCAAAGTACTGAGTCTCATATTCTTCATCTATACCTCCTGTCCAAGGTTCTGTTTTTATCATATTAGGTATAAGAATTATCCGTTCTGCAAACAGAATCAAAGTAATCTCCAGGCAAGAATCAAAATTTCTTCCTAAGACAGACAGCGAAGCAACGGTAGTTTTTTTAAATCTGTCAAACAAAACATTAACCCTTCAGTTGCCATTTTTATGTTTATCGGTTTTACGGCATCGGAATATGTCCATTAAGCCAAAACTTCATTAGTTGTGATCTTTGCTACTGTTGGGTAACTTTCCGAAAAATTTCAAATAGTGAAAATTTTTCGGGAAAAAATCTCGATATACTGGAAAAATTTAATTTCGAGGGTTCATATTATGTTCTACGTCTAGAAATATCTTTTGAAGTTTTATTTATCGTGAATTTGTATAGTAAAAAGCTACATAAGGAAAAACGAGATTTTAAAATAAGTTCGCAACGGCGAAAAACTCCAGCAACTACACCACCACCACTTGATATTAATTTTTTTTTATTAAGAGTTTTGGCTTAGATACAAGTTTTTTGAGCCATGTCTTCGTTTAATTAATTATCGGAATCGTCAGTAATATTTTCCATTGTGGCTCTAATACATTATGTTTTCAATTTCTCTTAGATAACTTAGTTCACTTATTTGGGTTTTTTAAATAGTCTTAAGGGGTGGGAGTCAATATTTATGTTTTCACTTTCACTTAAATCACATTATCTTCATTTTGACTTTGAATTCATAGTTATTGGGATTTTTAGGATAAAGTCTTCTGTAATTTAGATCAAACTAAGGAATATAGTTCTAACTTTCTTCATCACTATTTCTTTCTTTGTTTTTTCTTCATAATTTATTTCAAATAAAAATAATCTTTGTAAAAGCTGTACTTGTAACTTCTAAAGCCCGCCATTTTTTGTCATGGAAATTTTCCATGACCCAACACTGGTCTTTGCATACCATACTCTTGTAGTGTTGGGTCATGGAAAAGGTTCCATTTTGAAAAAATAATATTTTTCAGAAAAAGTATATTTTAATTAATTTTTCCAATACTTATGGCGGTTACTAGGCTTGTGCCTTCGAAGAATGCAGTTAATTAAAGTCAATTTCACGTAGGATGGGTCCTATGACATTTCTATTTTTTACGTTACACGCATTAGTATGTTAATCTGTTTACCAGGTTACAAAAATAATAAATTTGTCATAATGTACCATAAAACAAACAATATTTGTTGCAGTTGTAATTGTAAATAAAAATTAGAGTACATTCTGTAGAAAAATATAAATAAAGATAAAAATAAATTACCCCTATTACATCGTAAATCGGAACCGGAAACACCTGTCAAAAGTTGAAGTTACTGAACGAAAACGATGGAGCTAGAATTTTTCTTTGAAAAGTATCCACTATTTGAAATAATTTTTCAGAATAGTGTATTGTTGAGTAATTTTCTGAAAAATTAAAATTTTTCCACTATTTGAAAATAAGATAATTCTGAAAATTTAAAAAATATTAGATAAATATATACTTCGAAGGCTCATAAATTATGTTCTTCGATTACAAATATCTTCTGAAGTTTTATTTGGCGTGAATTATAAAATAAAAATGTATAGTTAAAAGCAAGTTGTAGAAAAACGAGATCTGGGAAATACACTTTATAATGGCTCCATCGTTTTCGTTCAGTTACTACAATTTTTTACAGTTGTCAACGTCAAATGTGGAAAAATATAAGAAAAATATCCGGAAATATATGTATATATTTTTTAAATGCTTTTTTCAAAACTATATAAGACATTTTACGACTTAGGTTTTGGCAATAATAAATTAGGCCCTCTATTAGTCGTCACCAAATAAAAGGCCAAATCTGAGAGTCGTATTCCAGAACTCTACTCAATGCGTAAGTCAGGACTTGAGTATGATTTAAAACACTAGAAATCATACTCAAGTCCTAATTTGAGCATTGGGTAGAGTTCTGGAATATGACCATAAGAGGATGGAATAATGGGCCAAATTTGACACTTGTCATCGCGACGTGAATAAGGATTGGACTAATCATATCGGAAATCACATTAAACGATTTTCACGAGAAATCATTTAAAAATTTTATGAATTCGTGATTGTTTAGATATTTTTCGATTCATTGCTTTTGTATCAAAAACATTTGACTAAATTTGACCAACTCCTGCTGTCCCGATTTTTTCGTATCATACAATGAAATGATCCTTACATGAAACTGAATCGATCAGCACTACGGGTCGTATTCCAAAACTCTACTCAACACTCAAGTCAGGACTTGAGTATTGCAGTAAGCGCTGAAAATCATACTCAAGTCCTTGCCATTAGGGACGTATTTCCAGTGAAATCATACTCAAGTCAGGATCTGAGTATGATTTCAAGCACTGGAAATACGACTCTAATGCCAAGGCCTTGAGTATGATTTCGAGTGCTTTAAACCATACTCAAATCCTGACTTGAGCAGACTTGAGTATTATTTCAACCACTGGAAATTCGACCCTAATGGCAAGGACTTGAGTATGATTTTCAGTGCTCACTGCAATACACAAGTCCTGACTTGAGTATTGAGTAGAGTTCTGGAATACGACCCTTAAACTGTTTGATCATTTTTTTTATGGACAACTCACACTTGACCAAATAAATGACTATGCCATCATAATATTTTTATTCAATTAAAAGATAGTTTCATTACTTTATTTGTATCAGTTTTGTGTTAACTTATTGTTACCTTTTTTATATAATATTAAGCGACGGGACGAACAAGTCGTGCGCCTGATGGTAAACTACACGCCTCAGTTACAGAATCACTCGGAGATTTAAATCGCAAAGATGGGCACACACAATAGAAACTCCCACTATAGAAAGGAGCGTATCAGTATCATCATATACTTTGCGGTATAATAGAAGTTCGCATTGAGCAAAATAGATGGCGTCTTCAAAAATTCGAAAAGGGCACGGGCCGGGCATATGCACATTGCACACAGTGATTGTTATGAATAAAATTTGCTTTTAGTTCCCGGTATCATAAGTTTAACCAAGTCAGTTACTTGCTTATTTTTTAAAAGAAAATTATAATAAAGTCCTTTGCAACGCGGCAAGCTGATTTTTGCGGTCATTTAATATTGTATATAAATTTTACATTATATTAGCACTGTGTCGATTTAATGCGAAAAACTAAACCGATTCGATTTTATTTCTTCGGTTTTTAACCTTTCGTTTCTTCTTAACGGAACGAGGAAAGGGCACTTGATATTAACGTAAGGGCCGTAAATACATAGCATACACATATACCTTGAATAAAGAGTTTTTTTAAATTTGGAACTCGTAATATAGATAAATAAAAAATATATTGTTTACATAATTTGCCGGGCTGACGAGAGCAGCGATATTGACTGGTCGGTAAACGCTTAAAACTAAATACTCAACTCCGATAAAAACTTTTATGGAACTTCTTAGAACTTAACAATATTATAAGCTATATCAGTATATACCTAATTACTGAATTTTACGCACCAGATAGGGATATTAGTTAATAATAATGACAATTTATTATTTATATTGATACGTAACGGTAACAACGATTGCTGATATAACTGAACTAAGTAGGTATATTAGGTACTTAAGTTTGTATCATTAGCAGAATGTTTATCATAGTTCTACTTTTGTACCTTACCTTATTTAAGCAAGGAAGCTCGGAAGTCGCTCTGAATGAGTCGTGTGTTCCGTCACCGCACCATGCTATTCCGTTTAGCGGATCGCATCGCAATTCACTTCAGTTCGGTAAGTTCAGTAATAACGTGGAGCTTGAGCGGTGTTGACGTACTTACGTAATCAAAACATAAACATAACCTCCCCGTTACAGTTACGAACTTTCATTTTGCCAAATTGTTTGTCGACAATATTTTTCTGAGACTGTACTTTGTATTTACATTCTGCTTACTTTCTGTGTACTCTGAAAGAACCGGCTGTGTCTGAAGTGTTTCGAAAGTTATATTGTTTTATTTTGTGATCAGTTGTACAGTTAGTGCGTGGTTTTGACCGTGAACTTCTTGGTTTGAATTAAATTCTAGAGTTCCTGAGGTAAGTTGACATTGTCACAACTCGTAAAATTTATATTATTGTGTGCATTTAAAAGCTTCCAAAAATAGAAACGACGAACATCTTTTGTTAATAAGTCTTATAAATACTTGCTACCTAGTACCTACCTCAGTATCAGCATGTTGTTTTGTATGGCAAATTTTTGTGTGTCGAAAGTATGCCAGTCCATAGTAACCACTTGTCTTAAACTTACTCCGTGCCATTATAACGACGTTATTCGCTTGGTTGAAGCACATGGCTAATCGTAGGTATATTTTGTAAATATCACGAGAACGAGTTAGGATTATATTTTGAAAATATAGGTACGTTTCTGTACCCATTTCGACCATATGTGATAAAATAAAAATTCACCCTGAATTTGTTTCATTTTTAAATAATATTGAAGAAAAATTAACATCCAAGATCCTGGCATGGCAGTATGGCGACGCCTTAGCCTGTTCTGAAGGGCGAACATTTAATAATAATTTAAAATCAAATGGTAATCACCGTAGAGGATGGAATACCGAAGAAAGTCACAACACAGTGTTTGTTTAAAGATATGAAAAAATTATCGAAGATTTGGTTTGATGGATTTATTCCGATGTTATACAACCAATATTTAAAAAAAAATGGTATTTTTGGCTTCTTGATTACCTACGTTATCATTATAATATACATTTTTTGGTTTTACGCCTTCGTTCCGATCATCAGTATTATATTAGTTAGTTAAACAAAAGCTATTCGGTCGCAACGAGTAATAATTAGACCCCCATGCAATGGTAAAACAACACAAACACAAAACATGATGGCAAATATTGAAAAAAATTATTCATTTCGCAGACCTATATTTTTGTGTCTATATGTATATATATACATGTGATCTATTTATCTTTCTATTTAGTTTATGTTCTCTCAACAAAGAAAGTTCGTAACACTAGCGTGCCAATTTTAGAAATAAATGTTACACAACGAGCATGTGTTGCAAACGATTCGATCATCGTACA